TGTGTTTGTTGCCCATCTGAATATTTTCTTTGGAGAAATGTGAAGCATTCTGTATTTTCATTTGTTTCCAGTGTGTTAGTAATTGCTTGTCTAAGCATTTTTGTGGTGGCTGCTTTAAAATCCTTATATAATTCTATACATTTAATTCAACATCTGTGTCATTTCAGTGTTGTCATCTGTTAATTTTCTTTTCTCAGACAAGTCATAACTTCCCTGTTCTTAGTATGATGAGTGATTTTCAGTTGTATCTTGAACATCTTGGAGATGATATGACTCTCAATCTTATTTAAATTCTCTGCTTGAGTAGGCTTCCACTGCTAGATGGAGGGTGCAGCCCAGTGGGCTGTCTGCTCAGCCTTCATTGTTACCCCAGGAGAAGAGGTGCCTTGATACTGCCAGGAAGAGACAGCTGCCCAGGTTCCCCATTTGTACTTCATTGACACTGCACTTGGTGGGGAGTAGTACATCAGTATTGTTAGGTGAGAATACAAGTCCAGGGTCCATACATGGACTCCATTGATACCATTGGGGGTGGCAGGTTTTGGAGAGAGGCATTTCATTATCACTGGACAGTGGGGGGAAATAAAGGTTCCTCATTCAGTCCCTACTGACATTGCAGGAAGGTGGTTGAATAGGTAGACATCTACTCCTCTTGTTACCCCTGGTCCAGAAGTCCAAAGTCCAAACTTTCTGTTGACCTCTTCTGATACTACCTGCATAGGGACAGGGAACCTGTCTCTGATACTACCTCTGCTTTGTTACCTTGTTATGGGTAGAGGTAGATGTCTAGACCCCACATGTTGTCTACATTGACACTATAGTGGGGTGTAGGTGGGGGCAGTCAGAGTCACCTCTTTTCCACTGGGTAGTGGTGATAGTCCAGGGTACTTTGGCCTTTTCTGACACCACCCAGCAAGGAGGGTGAATTACACCTAGTTATCTCTAGGCAAAGATATAAGTCTGCTCTTTCCACTAGGATTTTGTTGATTTGGGGTGGAGGTGCTGTGGTTTTTCCATGATGTTCACCTAGAATAGAGTGATTACTATCTTTAATATTTGCCTCACTAGGCTTTTGGCAAGTGGGAGCAAACTTTACTTGGTACTCACTGGTGTTTCTAGATTGTTGGATCCTTCTTCACCCAGTTTGGGATATATAAAATTCAAAAAGAAAAACCAGCAAATTCAATGCTGTGTCATTTCTCATGTCCTGGGGTCCCTAGTTGGTCCAATTTCTTCTCTCCATGTTTCTGGGTCTTCCTGTGTTTGTTTTTATACATAATTCCCAGGGTTTTTATCTATACTTAGTGGGGGAAATAAGGAGATATGCGTCCACTCCCTCTTGTCTGTATCCAGAAATCCAAGCCCTTTTCTTTTAAAGATGAATAATAGTGTTATATGGTACTATTAGAGCAGAAAAAAATATAATAAGAACTGTACTTCTGGCTGGTTTTTAAATTCAGTGTTTCTAACAAATTTGATCCAAAAAGAAAGGTAAAGAAGAAATGCTTAACAGTATGTAAAAACAAATCCTGTTGTTGCAACCTCACTGTTGGAACTTTATTGCTGTTTCAAATCCAAAACTTTCAAAGTTTGGTACTAAAAGAAGAATCTCCGTGTTGGAAAGTACTGCTAATCGTGCAGCACCTGTTTTGTCTCACCTGCTGCTATCGGCAAGTGAATACAGAGAATACAGGTGGAGTCTAGATTCCTATCCAACTTACAGAGGGGCTACCATCGTGGCAGTTAGCAATATAATAAAAGTATTGTTGGAATGGCCCTAAGGCAGCTCTTAATGTGCAGACACAAGAGATTTGTTCCTTCACCGATCCTAGATAACATACATTTTGCTAACGTGGCATTTCAAAATAAACCTTAAGCCAGCTTTACAGAGCTTTGTAGAACTTGGTAATTTAAATTTTGCACAGTAAACTTACATCTAAAAGGTTTTCATATTTAACATCTTATTGACTTTCTTGTAAGTGAACATATATATAACCTATTTCATGGAGTTGATAGCCTCTCCAAATAATAAAAGTACACATTTTTAACCAAATGATGATTGCAAAGGTAAAAAAAAATTGAATTTTTGCTCTCTGGGAACACAAATTTCTTCTGTTTATTCTTTCTGGAGTTGAATCTCAAGAGAAAAAATGAATTGCTCCGTTTCAGCTTTATCTCCCCCCACTCATTCCCTGCCCAGGGAATAGCTACCCTGAGTTTATTCTGTTAGAGTCTTTTAGAACCAGTGCATTATCAAGAGATCAGGATCTCGGTGTATCTTTTTCCAAATGCATAGTAAAACTGACCTTTGAATTTAGGGATCTCCAAAGATGATTGGAACCATATGGGAGACATCAAATTGATGCTCCCATATTATCTCCAGGTCACCTGGAACTACAAATATATTAAGTGTCCAGTTACCAGTATAAACTTAAGAGCTGCAAAGCTCTAAAGGCTTATTTTCTGTAGACACCTCTTCCCTTTTAAATTTCCTGAAAGGGCATTCTAAAAGGATACTTTCCTTATAGAGTTGAATCTTAAAGAAGAGAAAAAAATGATTTCTGGTCTGTTGATTTTTTTTTCCCCCTCATTCTGTCCCCATGTACCTTTCTCTTAGCCTTTCTCTCTTGACCTTCCACAGTTGAGCAATTTTGAAGAAAAGTAAAATTATATCTCAAGTGAATGTGAGTAAATTGGGGGGAGGAAAGGAAGATATTTTACTTCACATTTAGAAGGAAGAAGAAAATGAAGACACAGGTTTGATTCCCTGACTTTAGGACCAGGTTTTTTTAGCTGAATATCTTCAGGGCTCTCTGTCTTTTGCTCTTGATATACTTGGGGGAAATTAGCTTTTCAAATATGAAAAGGCTGGAACATCTTGTTTAAACCTCTGTTAGCCTCAGGGTTGGCTTATTAGGAGAGCCTGGATTTATACCATAACCTTTCTCTTCCCCTTGTAGCTACTGGTTTGCTCATTCTGCTCTGGTTCCTGTGCTCTCTTACATAAGGGGTAAGTGAGGTATAACCCTGTAATGGCTGAGTTACATGAATAATCGGCTTTGTTTCTTAGGCCCTATTCTCCTTTGAGCGTCTCTTTCCATGCCATCACCACCTTCCAGAAAAATGGCAGCTTGAAGATTTTTATGGAAGATTATGGTCTTTCTTCTGCATTACGCTCTTAAATTGTTCTCTCTCATTTTTTTCACAAATATCAAAGAAAGTGTTGAAAGTTCCCGTGTCTTTTACATATAGTGACCTTGTAATAAAATTTCATTTTAGTTTCTAAGTTTTGGCTCTGCCTTTTTGAAAAAATTTTGACTGTATTCCAACTCACTTCTTAGCAAAGCAGTATTATTTCATAACAGGTATTTGCCATTTAGAAAAGAAGGGACCATTGTACCTTTTTTCTAAAGTGAAAGACAAAAAAAAAGATTCAATTCAAACAAAATCTTGTATTATTGGGACAAATAGAGACATGGGCATTATTTAAAGTGAAGAGACACTGAAGAAATTTGATTAGAATTCTAATGAGTTCTTCTAGACAGTACAGAGAGAAGTAGAACTAAAGAATATGACAGAGACGCAGTTTTTGCTAGTACTACAAAAAATTAGCTGGGATCAGAAAGAAGCCTTCCTCTTGGCTAAGTTTAGGGAATAAAAATATCAGCAGCTCATATTTGTTGGGTGATTATGATGTGGCAGGCTCTGTGTCTGGTGCATGGCATACAGTGTCTCATTCGATCCTCAGAATAATCTTCAGGAATAGATATGTATTCCCATTTCACCAGTGAAACTCAGAGAGATTAAGAAACTTTACTCAGGGTCTGATGCCTAGTTTATGATAGAGCCAGCATTTGAACCCAGTTCCTGCAAGACTCTACAGTTGTATTTTTGTCGCTATGACATTAGACTGCATCTGGCACTACCTTTCTGAAGAATTACAGTAGTTTCCCATTGCTTATAAAGTAAGCTTTATTTAGCATGCACTCAGTGCCCCACATGATCCAACCTCACTTCTCCATCCTCATTCCTACCCTATCCACTTTACATGCTACTCCACTTCCAAATTCAGTGTGTGTGTGTGTGTGTGTGTGTGTGTGTGTGTGTGTGTGTTCATTTTTGTGCCTTTTGTTCAGTATGTTCCTGGAACCTGGAATGTTTTTCTATAAAATCATCCTTGGTCTTGCCAGTTGAAATTCTTTTCAACTTCAGCTTCATCATCTTGCTGTACAGTTCAATTTATAATATAAATTTCAATTTGGTTACATATTTACTACATCTCTACAACCCATGCTACTGTTTTGAATATGTAATTATTCATCCTTGTCTCACAAGTATTTTTTGCCTATGATCATTTCATGTGTTTTGTAGGGTGGAGAAGAGCTCCTGGGAAACCCAGGAGAAGAGAATGAAGGAACAGTACCTTATGGCTATCTCAGATAAAGATCAGCAGCTCAGTCATCTGCAGAATCTTATAAGGGAATTGAGATCTCCTTCCTCCCCTACTGAGGCCCTCAAAGTACAGTACCAAAGACAGGTGAGTAATTTCAGTGCTGATTGCTACTTAGAGATAACCATCACCCAGGAAGAATCAGCTTCCTGCAAGCCAAGTGCCCATCTACCACTCTTGGACAAGCTGTCTTGTGACATCCTATGAAGTGGACAGAATTTACTGAGGGAAGGAATTAAGCATAAACAGCATTGGGAGGGAATTTCATCAGTGTTTGTATCCTGGCAGGCATCCCCAGAGACATTGGCATCCCTAGATGGATCACAAAATCTAGTTTATGAGACAGAACTTCTTAGGACTCAGCTCAATGACAGCTTAAAGGAAATTCACCAAAAGGAATTGAGAATTCAGCAACTAAACAGTAAGGTAAGTGTTTCCTACTAGACTAAAATTCAATTTCTTAGTTCCATGACCAGAAGCAAGGTCGTAAGTAGGAACTGATTAAGCCTGGGTTTTAGCTATAGCATATCTTAGGGCGCAGAAGATTTACCTTTCTTGGAGCCTGGGTTGCTCCCCCCAAAGCACAGATATGGGACCATATCCACTTCCTCATCCTTGGAGTGTCCTTGGGAATGATTGGTGAAATCTATTCAATAAGAATAAAAAATAAAAAAATCCAACTCTTTTAGGAAGGTTTGCTCCCCAGCATTCTCTCCCCATCTGTATCCCTTGTTAGTAATATTGAGGTAACTCCCCACAAATCCTCCAACACCTTCCTCTCTGTTTCCCATCAATGTGCATCAGGAAAATGTCTCCAGGAGGAAGCTTTTCAGATGTGATTAGATAGCAGGGATAGAGGTGAGAGGGCTGCTCTTTGTTCCACTCCATTTGTAGGCTTCTTCACTGGTGTCTAACATTCTGGAACTAAAGAAGCCAGATTTTCCCCAAACCCCAGCCATGCCATTCTAGACACTCTAAGGAAGCATGCTGGAATATATAGGATGTGTTTCTGTAGGGAAGAGCCACTTTGCCATCTGGTCCCTAGAGCCAATCTCGCCAAGGCAAGATTTTTTTTTTTTTAATGTTTTTTTAACGTTTATTCAGTTTTGAAAGAGAATGAGACAGAGTATGAACAGGGGAGGGGCAGAGAGAGAGAGGGAGACACAGAATCTGAAGCAGGCTCCAGGCTCCAAGCTGTCAGCACAGAGCCTGACGTGGGGCTAGAACCCACGAACTGTGAGATCATGACCTGAGCTGAAGTCGGATGCCCAATCGACCAAGCCACCCAGGTGCCCCTCACCAAGGCAAGATTATTCTTGGAAGAAAATTATTCTTGGAAGCCTTTTCTTTCAGCCTTTTTACATCTTTTTCAATATTGAGAGGTGTTTGTTTGTTTGTTTGTTTGTTTTTGTACAGTTTGAACTGTTCACTGTTGCCAGGAAAATTAATTTTTGTTTGTTAGGAGACTATAATACTCTGTCTCAGAACCCAGTAGTTATCATTGTACCCAGTAATCATGTCTACCCCTGTCTTCAAATTAGTATTGCTTCTCAAACGTTTATATCCTTTTCTTTGCTCACTTGTCATACTCCCCCCAAAAAACCATAACCTGGTTCACTTCCCTTGCTGAACCCACAGATGGGATGCCATCATGCAGTAGGGAGACCTTAGACTTGGAATCAAGAACCATACTTGAGTCCTGGTCTGTCATCTATTAGCTACATGTTGTTGGGCATGTCACTGATCGTCTCTTGTTTGTCATTTATGAACGGGGACAGAAATCATTCCTCTACCTCTCTCAAATCAGATGATACTTTAAAAAGTACTTTGTCGGGGCGCCTGGGTGACTCAGTCAGTTGAGTGTCCGATTTCGGCTCAGGTCATGAACTCATGGTTCCTGGGTTTAGGCCCTACATCGGGCTCTGTGCTGACAGTTCGGAGCCTGGAGCCTACTTCGGATTCTGTGTCTGCCTCTCTCTCTGCCCCTGCCCCCTTTGTGCTCTGTCTCTCAAAAAATAAATAGACATTAAAAAAATTAAATTTAAATTACATAGATGAAAAATAAAATAGAAAATAAAAAAAATAAAAATTACTTTGTAAACTTGCTTTTCAGAGGTAAGGTTATTTGTTGTGATTTTTATTTTGGCTATGCAAATATTTTTGTTATACCATGTGGATTTCTTATTCTAGTTTTCTGTATCAAATGTCCTTCCCATCCAGCCAGAGTATCTCTAGAAAAGTTTATCTTCTCTTTGAACATTGAGTCCACTTTTTCACACAAGTACTAACTCAGAATAATTACAAAAGGAATACTCAGGGAAAGATTGAACATGCGTCCAGGTACACTGGTTTCCCTTCACATAATGCATACAGTCCTACAGCAGGGACTTTGGAGAAGTATCTCTGATTGTTAATATTTCTAGGTGTTAATCATAACTAAAACTTGAAACCTGACAAGCCTGCAAGTGAGGAATTAGAATTGTAGTTCCAGGGGATTGAATTCAAGTCATCGTAGGAGCTACAATGGGTAAATTTTTCATTCAATAGAAAAAATAATTTTCTGGTTTTTGACCTGGTAAAAACTGGCGTGGGCTGCTCTGTCAGGTGGTGAGCACCCCTGACACTGGACATGTTCAAGGAAAGACTGAATAACTACCTCTTAGGTAGTAAAGGAAGGTCCTGCTTTGAGTGACTGAAATATTTCCACCTGTGAGAGTCTGTGCTCCCAGTATAGTTTCTTACATGTACATAGAAATTTAGGATTTCTTCTGTGTCTCCCACCTACCACCCATGATAATTTCTTTTTCTACCTTCTTGACAACTTGTAACTCTCTGCAGCATTGAGGAATCTGCCCAGTACTGTGGTTGTGTGAATTTTTAGGTGACAGCTCTATCTCTTATCGACTTTTAAGGATTATAGTCATTTGTGAGTTATTTCATCTTGGACCCAACCTGCTATCTTTCTCCTTTACATACCTGGAATAGTTTGTACTATCAGATTGCTTGTGGGTTTCTGCTTTCTGGTTTCCCAGTCAATGTACTAGGCACCACAAATAGTTTCCTACCACTTCTCCAAAATTATTTTCCTTTTTCAGTTGAAAAATTCTGAGTTTTCTCAGTTTGAAGGAACACACAATGCTCTTGTTACTATTATTGAAATAAAGGTCTTGGATTAAAAAAAATTAGATCCTTGAAACTCCAAGAGTCTTCCTAAGCACTGCTTCTTGTGAAACAGTCCTTCCCCTCTCCACTGTTGCAGTTCTCTCAACTACTCGAAGAGAAAAATACCCTTTCAATACAGCTCAGCGATACCAGTCAGAGTCTTCGTGAGAACCAGCAGCACTACACTGACCTTTTTAATCACTGCGCAGTCTTGGAGAAGCAGGTCCAGGAGCTGCAAGCGGTGAGCTGGAAGGCGGCGAGAGGCTGGGAAAAGTGTTACAAAATTGAGTGCAAATGGGAAAGCATAAAGAGCAGCATGGGAGAGGCTGGTGCCTCAGGCTGAAGATTAATTAGGTGTGATGGAAGAGAGGAGAGCATTCGCTGAGATGGGAATAAGGCCTAGAAAAATTAAAGAGTGAAGGGATTAGAAGGACAAAGATCAGTGAGATGGTGGGAGAGAAATCAAAAAGTGAGTGGGAAACTGATGACTGAGGCTTTAACTCTGTCACTAAGACTGGATTTGGCTTCAAGAAATAAGAAAGCTGTAGGAAGATTTGGCCCTGAGAAACAAAATAGGTGGGGCTGGTGACACAGCCTAGCGGTGTGTACTGTTGAAGCTGGGAGGTAGTGAGAATTAGCATGGAGATGAATAGGACAGGGAAGGAGGAGAAGGTTTGGGAGTAGTCGAACAATGGAAGGATCAGAGTAGCTTTTGGAAAATCCATGAGCCTCCACTAGAAAAAAAGCAGATTTCAGCGGTAAGCCTTTAAAATTTTAAGAGAGATTAAAAAATGATTATGTGGGAGAAAATCTAATCTAATCAAGAGTTTCAGGTAGGAGATTAATCTCTTAGAGCAGAAGATTCTCACTTCTGACTCTGTACTTGAAGAGAACGACAAGAGGAGTGTTCTTCTCCAGGGTGTCTCATTCTCTCTGGTGTTCAGTGAGTTCTCATTTTGCCCAAGCGGTTTCTTAAGTGCTTTCATCTCTGAATTACTAAATTTATTCTTCTTCTAGGGGCCACTGAATATAGATGTTGCTCCAGGAGCTCCCCAGGAAAAGAATGGAGCTCACAGGAAGAGTGATCCTGAGGAACTGAGGGAGCCACAGCTCAGGTAGGGGAGCAGCCCTCAACCCTGGTGCACACACTAGTGTACAGAAATGGACAGTCATCTAGATGGAACTGGAGCCCAGAGTATGGGTTTAATATGACTTATCAGCCTCACCGGATTGGTGTGAGGATTAAATTGTACCAACTATAATAACAAATTTGTAAAGTTGAAAGTTTGTCAGGCAATGGGAGCACACCTGCGCGCACACTTGTGCGCACGCGCGCACACACACACACACACACACACACACACACACACACACACACCACTAATCCTGTGGTATTCAAATGAAAGATATGCAGTCAATCTCTAAAATCTCTAAGGCATTCTCTGCAACTCATTTCAACAGCTACACTTTTAAAATGTTCTTTTTTTAAAAAAATCTTTTCCCCTTCCTATTTTTTGTTTGTATAAACGTCTATACATTTTCCTGCTTTATAGTCTTACGAAGGCTTTGAATCCCTTGTGTCAGCAACTATGTTCTGCGCCTACTGATGCTGTTTGATGTCCTTTTATTTTGAAGCTTTTCTGAAGCCCAGCAGCAGCTGTGCAACACTAAACGAGAGATGAGCGAATTGCGGAAGCTGCTGGAAGAAGAACGAGACCAAAGAGTGGCTGCTGAGACTGCCCTTTCTGTGGCTGAGGAGCAGATCCGGCGGTAAAGGACTGAGGGAGATAACCTCTGTTCACTTCTCATCTTTTCTGATTACACTGGGTACACTTCAGTGGCCAGACTTGGGAATAATTAGGATCTAATCCCATCTTGAGATGGGTGCTGCAGTGAAGTTTGGGGTCGAGATAAGCTACATTAGTCTAAGCTTAGCCCTTCCACAGTGTCCTCTTCGGCTCTGATGCAGAATGCAGATGTAGGCAGCTGATCAAGTGCAGCCTGCCTAGGCCCCACACTCTGCCATGTTAGAGCTTCTTTCACATGTACTGTGTAGTGTATGTGGAACTAAGCGCACTTGTTATTTCTTTTTAAAGAAATTTATTTTGAGAAAGAGTGAGTGAGTGGGAGAGGAGCAGAGAAAGGGAGAGAGAGAATCCCAAGCAGGCTCTGCACTGCCAGCATGGAGCCCAATGCGGGGCCCCGAACCCACAAACCATGAGATCATGACCTGAGTTGAAATCAAGAGTTGGACGCTTAGCAAACTGAGCCACCCACGCACCCCCAGTGGACTTGTTATTTAAAAGCAGCCAATGCACGGGGCGCCTGGGGGGCTCAGTCGGTTGAGCGTCCGACTTCAGCCAGGTCACGATCTCGCGGTCCGTGAGTTCGAGCCCCGCGTCGGGCTCTGGGCGGATGGCTCAGAGCCTGGACCCTGTTTCCGATTCTGTGTCTCCCTCTCTCTCTGCCCCTCCCCCGTTCATGCTCTGTCTCTCTCTGTCCCAAAAATAAATAAATGTTGAAAAAAAAAAAAAAAAGCAGCCAATGCTGTTTAGTTCACCAATATTTACAAACATTTCATTTTTCCTCGGCCTAGCCTACAGAAGCTGACATACTGACCTGCATAGTGCCAGACTTTGCTGTTCCAGGTCAGGGCTGTCCCTGAAAAGCTTATCATCTGGAGGAACAGACACAGAAGGTGTACTGTGCAGTCAGCCTGACTCTCAGAGGAAAACTGGCATGATGGAGCTAGACTGTACTCACTCAGTTTCTCCTTCCAGACTCACAAATCAGATTAAAATATTCTTTCTTTCCAGGAGAAAATTCGGTGACCTGCAATGAGAGGCCAGGAGTGTTAGACTAATGGACATCCCTTCATATGGAGGAGTGGAGAGTTCCATCCTTCCCACCATGATTAAAAAGTGCATACCTATAGGCAAATGTTTGTTCAAATGTGCTATGTTACCGCAGCCCCTTTGATGCAGTTCATGTTTTTTGAGAAACCATTGAATGGAAAAAGACAGCTTCTTCATTACATAGAGCAGTGCCAGTATTAAATCAGCAAAAAATGAAGAAGCAGTAGAGGCTGGTAGTTCAGTTTAATTCTAAGAACCTCACAAAAATCTTTCTTGGATGCTTTTGCCTAATTAGCCTTTGGTAAATGGAAAAACAATGAGTTTCTCTGGTGTATTGGAAAAAAAAATAAACAAAAAACAGACATGAGGTTTAGAGACAAACCTGGGTTTTGAATTCTGGCTTGACCTGTTACTGGCTGTGCCACCATGGACAAGACAACATTACTTTGAAGATAGTAACACCAACCTCTAACCTGAGGATTAAATATATGTACAGCACCCAGTCCAGCATCTGATACATAGTAGGCAATTAATTCCTGGTAGTTATCCTCACCGTTTACTGCTGCTGAAAGAAACCGATCTGCCTGCACACACACTGCTTGTGTAGGGACAGGAACTATAGTAGCAGCCTTTGCTGCAAGTCTGTCGTGCTACATCACACAGCAGGATGGCTGGGAAGACTTCACCTCATCAGCTGCTTGTGCTATAAACCAAGCCATGTCTCTTTTTTTCCCACAACACAGGTTGGAGCACAGTGAATGGGACTCTGCACGGTCTCCTATCATTGGCTCCTGTGGCACTCAGGAGCAGGCACTGTTAATAGATCTTACAAGCAGCAGCTGTCGAAGGGTAAGAAGGGGAGAAACTAAGGAGAGGGTACTAAGCTATCAGACAGGGCTGACTGCACTGAGGACAAGGAGTCAAGGAAAAGGAAGGTGGAAGTCCAGGCACTGAGTACCTGATGGATCTAAGACTAGAAGGGTATGGAAGGTGAGAGGAACCTAGTGGAGTTGGCCAAGTGACCCTGAAGGAGCTTTCTCTCGGGATACCTCTTTCCTGCAATGTTGGGAGAAGGGAAAGGGACATATCCCTGTAGGGCAAACCTCTCTGACTTTCCAATTTTTCTTTCAGACCCGGAGTGGTGCTGGATGGAAGCGGGTCCTGCGTTCACTCTGTCATTCCCGGACCCGAGTGCCACTGCTAGCAGCCATCTACTTTCTGATGGTTCACGTCCTCCTCATTCTGTGTTTCACAGGCCATCTATAAACTGATTTCTCACCTTTGTGACTACTCCCCTCAGAACTTGGAATTCCCTCATCTCTAACATCCAAACCATCAATTTTGCTAGTGGAACAGTCTTCCCACTTACAGGTCTTCTCTCCAACTCTCCACAGAAAGTGCCTGCACAAACAGAGGTGGATGTCAGCCCAGGGCAGAGCTGCAGGGACCAGTGGGTCTGCTTTCTTCTCCTGCCCGGGGTCGGAACACTTCTGCATAATCTGAGGAGGCCCCACAGTCGGTTGTTGAACCCGGTATTTGTTCAGGTTTTGCAGGGCCCTGATTTTTTGTGGTCCTGTGAAGGATGATGAGGAATGTCTTTCAACTTAGAAGATGGTTGTAATAAACCTAATAATCTGAAGTCTAGTATCATTTTGATTGATACTTTCTTTGCCTCAGTTACCTTATATTTTCTCCTGCTTCAGAGGGAAGGTGGACCTGCCATTAACAAAGTTTTGGGGAACAGTATCCCATAGAATAGCTGGTTAGGTCTCTTGCAAAATAGGGTGGGAACTGAAGAACTCCCCAGGGTTTCAGTTGACCAATCATAGGGTAGGACACTGACTCCTTCCCTGGTTGTTCAGACATAACTGGAGTTAGATTTGAGGTCCTGGACTATAGGGATAGAATCCTATGTGTGTGCCCTTGATCACATATATACTGAGGTATTAAATGGCCCATGCCTTTCCTTTCATTGAAAGGAAGAATTGGCTATAGACAGTGGAGATCAGATTCTTGTCATTCCGATGTTGTCTGGATATGCCTTGAGTGTAGACCCTAAAGCAGTATACTAGGAGCTAATCCTAGGTGAGGCATTGACTCCCACCAGGGAGATCTGACTGGTCTGATGACCACTCCTAGCCTCTGGTTGTACGAAGCTACTCTGCTGTTGGTGATAGTTAGCCCAGTTTCTCAGCCCATAGTCACCTGCCCTCTGTGGTAACAGAGCTGAGGAAAGTGGAGGGCGAATATAGAGAAGACAAGATATCTAAGTCTAAGCCTGAGAATGGCAGCCAGGATTGAATTCCATTTGTGCCTGTTCCTTGCCTCCCCTTCCCCCACCCTTACCTGCTGGTTAGTTTCTCATTATGCACATGATATGTTCCCTGCCTGCTCTCACCACCCAAAGAAGAGAGAAAACTGGTGGACTGATTGATCTGCTGTGATCCTTTGTTCTTTGGTGACCAAATCTTGGTCATGGCAACCCAGGAACTTTCCTGAACAATTGTAAAATAATAAAATTATTTTCAGAATCAAAACTGGTGGTGGTGTGTACATGTGTATGAATGTATGTAGACACAGGTGCTTATGTACATGTGCTTGCATGCTGGGCAAGGAAGGGTAGATGGGAGACAGGGTTGGGCAGCCAGGAGTGGATTCAGGGGTAGTAAGCTCTACCTGTTTAGGCTTCCTTCTCCTTGGCCAGCATCAGTAATGGCTGCATGTGTCATTCTGGCCTTAGCCTCTAGACTCCAGGGTGATGAAGTGGAGTGAGGAAATTCATTCTAGTGTTGAACCAAACAAACTGGGCCTTAGGGCCTGAGATTCATGCAGCTCATGCCTGGGCCTGAGAGAAGACTTATCTGGGGTATAGTGAAAACATTAGGCCCTTAAGGATCCCTATGAATGGGAGTTGGGGGAAGAGAAATCTAAGAGGGTATAGCAGAATAAGCATTGCTATGTTACAGGTTTTTAAGTTTATTTTGAAAGAGAGTAGGGGAGGAGTAGAGAGGGAGAGAGAGAATCCCAAGCAGGCTGTATGCTGTCAGTATGAAGCCCTATGTGGGGCCCAAACTCCTAAACCATGAGATCATGATCTGAACTGAAGTCAGACGCTTAATCAACAGAGCCACCCAGGCACCCCTACTATGTTATTTTTATATTAAGTTGCTGCTTAGGAAAAGCTAACTTTATTAAAGTACAATGAGTGAATCAAACCAAGATTTTATGGCTTGAAAGTCCATGCTATTTATTTGTGTGCTCCATCTCACTGTCTCTCATTAGAAATGAACTTGGGGGCAACCTGGGTGGCTCAGTCAGTTAAGTGACTGGTTCTTGATTTCGGCTCGGGTCATAATCCTATGGTTCGTGCGATAGAGCTAGAGTGCAGAGCCTACTTGGGATTCTCTCCCTCCCTCTGCCCCTCCTCTGCTCATGCTCACTTTCCCTCTCTCTCCCAAAATAAATAAACTTAAAAAAGAAGAAGAAGAAATGAACTTGAGACTTTGCTAAAGAGTGATAGGGTTAGAACTGTACCTGGATGGTGTGCCACAGTATTTGGTCTGATCATTCCCATTTTTGACACTGAATTAGGATCCCAAATGATCTAAAAGATCTTTTCCCCTTCTACAAATGATCTTTTCCTTGAAATGATTTTGGTGCTGCCATAATAAATAGGTCGTGAAGTAGGAGAGAGAAATACACTACCACCACCACCCACCAAACTGACCTAGAATTCTTAAGAGTGACTAAGGTCTTATTATTTCTAATGCAGAAATCACCTCCACTATATCTTAGACCACTTTCATCTAGTCTCTGTTTGAGTCTGTTGGGAAACTCAAAACTGAGCAAATCAGTTAGAACTCCATATCATCAGGGTTAGGAGAGACTAGGTCAGATACAGTAACAAACACCAATTTTTAGTAGCTAAAACAGCAAAGATTACTGTTTATAGTCTACTTGTGTTGTCATCATTCTCAGCTGGGGACCCAGGCTGCCAGAGGAGCCACTGGAGAACTGCACTTCGCCTTGGTGAGCAGGGGGCAGAAAAGCATGGCAAAGCTTGCACTGGTCTTAAAGTCTCCACCAGAAAGTGATGTATTTCACTTCTCACATTTGATTGGCCAAAATCAGTCACCTGAGCAAGTCTGGCTTCAAGAAGGAAAGGAAGGAGGGGCAGCAAATCTTGAACGGTAATACAAAATGCCACAAAAATCTTCCAACATCTGGTAGTAGTATCTAGTTCTTTCAGACTTTTTTCTGCTAGTTAGACCCCACTCCCCTAAACAACTTCTGAAACTTTCTCCCTCCATGGCTTGCCTTTCCCGTGACTGATTCTGTTCCATTGTTCAATTGATCAATGCTTATTTGAATATCTGTATGCAAACCCCAGGTTTAAGTGCGATGGGTGATGTAGAAGTGAGTTTCTTTTTAAATCTTACCCTTCAAAACCCACATAAAAATCACTTTTCTCATTAAACCTTTCTAGATTACTTCACCCCATACCAAATTACTTTTACCACAAATTCCTTTACCATAGTAGATGCAAGTGCTTACCTATTTCAAACATGAATGCTGTTCTACAACATTCTTTTATGTGTTTTCTGTGAATGCTTTGCTTCCTTGACCAGATATAAACTCTGAGAGTAAGAGCAGCATTCCTTATAACTTCCCTGTGACTCTCAAAGCGTTGCAAAAGACGAGGCACGGCGGCATTTTTTTTTTTTTTTTTTTTTTAAGTGCCTAAGCAGAAGGAACTGACTTAAACTTCAGGAAGTAGCTGTGAGGACAGGGTGTCAGGAAATGACAGAAAACCTGCTGAATACGGAACTGAAGCAGCAGCTCAGAGTTTCTTGCTCTGAAGTGGCAGTAGAGAGGGGAGCCCAGTGGACGTGAAGAGCTGGGAGCTTAGAGCAGACACTTGGCTACTGGAGGTGGGTACTCTGAGCAGTGGGAAAGTTGGGGAGCACAGGGCAAGAGCT